AAATACCAGCTGAAAAGCAGAAAACATACTAATTAACATGTACAAAATGTATGGCATTAGTGTTTACTTTGCAGTTGTACATGCTGCTTGATGACTGCTAGGGAAACGAGTAGAAATTAGTCTAGTGAAGTGTGAACAATTTAATAGTTCATACATGTAGTATATGTGGCAGTATGTTGAAATGAAACAAAAAACAACAAACGTCAATCCTACATATCAGGTATCAAAACATTGGGACTGGTGGTAAACGTCAACCAGCAGAGAAATTACTGTAGCAACAATTTGACACAATGGTATTTGCCATTCGGCCTTTACAGTGTATATTCTTAGTACTGCATTATAGTAAGATGTGGTTGAGTTCTCTAAAATCTACATCATCACATACATGTACCATGTTTCGATGCATCTGAGTAAACTGTTACAAATGTATTTACCAAAAACTTGCATCTCGCCCAGTACCATGGCTGTATGATGTACTTGGACATAAAATCTGATATGTTGTTATTAACCTAAATCACTGAATAGTAATTGGCATAGGAAGATCACATGACATTGGGCCATTCTTAGTTCATATCATGTCATTTTTACACAAGTCAACTGAGGTGATCACTCAACAATGACAAATAAATGTATTTAATGCATCATAGATTTTAAAACCATTAGCATGATGGAATTGTCAGGAGACACGAATTCATCAATGGATGATATAATGAAACACATGGACGCCTGTGAACAAAAGTGACACTAATCAATCAAGTCAGGCTGATCAAAATAAAGTGCCTGTGAAATGGTTGTTATTTTCACGCCTAAAATTATCTATCATAAAAAAATCATAAATTATTGCTTTTAAGTGAAAAATGCATTTTAAACTTTATTTTTGTGCATTCTAACACGAGGTTCCTCATTAGCTTCTCATTTGCATACAGAAATTCCCCTTGTGACATCACAAGGGAACTTGCTGAGCAGCTTGCATTGCCGATATGTGTAAATAAGACAAATTTCTTGTAGAGAAATCTTTGACTAAATTGTCACTGTCAAAATTATTGCTACCTTTTACCATGGTTACTAAAAAAGTACATAACACTAACTAAACGATCTCGATGAAGCAATATTCAGAATCGCAAACAAAGTCAAATCATTTGATACACTTACCCAACGTCAAAGGTGTTGGTATTGCGCCAGGTTTAAGTTGTCGCCGATTCTCTTTAAAACCTAGCTGTTTTTTTCATGGATGAGGACAGTATTTCAAAGAAAGATTCTGAGGTGAAGTGGACCCTACATATGAGGCTGTAAGAAGGTCCACTCTAACCTTTTTTCATTGTTTTCACGGCTTTCATCAACTGACGTAGCACCTTCTGATCGATTGGAAATGTGTGAATAATTACACTATACGTATTACTGCAACTGCTCACAACACAACATTTAAACGTCATGAATGTTTGTTGTGAATACAACTTATAAAACTCTCTCTCTCAAAAAAAAAAAAAATAGCCAACAAAAATGGAAACGCCAACTGAAAATCGTATATCGTTTAAAAGTATGTCGAATGACGCAGTATTATTATAGTACAGCTCAGGGATATGGCTTCTTCTCATATTTTGGCATTCGGTGGCACACTTTCAGCGACAGTCGGAAATCCGGAAACAGTCAACCGTTTCAGGATAGGTGGGCGTGGCTACAGAACGAGAAATGTCTCAAATTTACTTGGATACAAGTTATCATTTTCAGCAAAATAAATCAATAACTACCCATTTCAGTGGGACACAAGTCTAAAAGGAGAAACGTGTGGGTGGGCATTGCACAGGCACTTTAAGGTTGGTTACAGAGATCAATGTAAACAAATTTTAAGACAGAGTGGCTAACACTCTTGTAGAATTTCATTTGCATTTCATGCTGAAGTAATTTCTAATATGAGTTAAATTTTTCAATATTGATCAATATTCCATGCACACAACCAAAATATTCATTATCGCCTTTATCTGTGTACTTGTAATAATCCATTGAAATAAAATATTATTCTCTTGTGGAATGTCTGTAGAACACTGTCTGGTACCGGTACTACCAGTTTGAATATCAACTTACATGTACCTTCAAACTACAGCAGAGGATCTATGATAGAACAACTACATGTACAAGAACTACATAATCACACCACAACCATAGTTTATGTCTACATCATCTGTGTGATTCGATTACTGACAAATGAATCATCTTGGATTGTGATGGTAAAACACATGAGTACTATAACAAGCTACTATCTTCAGAATCTCAATATTAAATGAAAGTACTAAGTCAAAGATATCAGTAAACGATTTCATCCTATTAGAATCCCGTTCACACTAATACAGACTACACAGCTCCAGAAGCATGGAGCATGTGACACAAAGTACTGCACATGCGCAGTTCACTACATAATGGTCAACTGGATGGTTACCCCAGTGCATGCTGGAATTTTACAACACTGCATGCTGGGAGTTGGTTGTATAACAAGTAGCACTGATGTGATTATGCCTTGTATATTGTTAACTTCTCATTAATAGAATTGTTCAACAACTATTTCAATAATAACATAATGTGCATTTTAGAAAATATGCCAATATACCTAGTATTATTTGAATCCTCATTTATGACTGCAAGAACTGTGTCACCATCTTCAAATGAATTGTAAGCATATATTAGGTAATTCAAGTTATGATAGCAGCAACAATCATTTTATTGTCTCTGTATGTTACCTGCAGTTCTTTCATCTTACATATCTCTTGTATTACTGATCCACAGTGTTAACCAGCAATAGATCAATAATAATCTGAAATTTCAAAAAATATCTCTTTTTATTACTACTCAGTGTTTCAGCTATGAATCCACTTCATGTACAAAGATGC